TTCTTTATCTCTTCATTTGATGTTTTAGGGTTTCAGGATCGTTGTATTCTCTGTTCGGCTTAGTTTTTCGGATCTTTGCTGTGGAGGGACGGCGTGGTGCTTCTGCCTAGAGCGCCATTTTTCCGGAACCTCCTTAATTGTATTTTAGATGAAGGTTTATAGAACAAATAGTTTCTTATTAAACAGTTAGTACACATATTGTTTTATGACAATGGTTAACAACTCCATGGCATGTCAACACTGTCCCTTCTCAACCTTGGATTCCTTATTATCAGCTTTCCTGTCCCCTCCTGCCTTCTAGTCCTTATCCCTGGACTGCTGTGCCCCATTAGTCTCGTTTTGTTTTATGGGCCTGTCTAATCTTTGGCTGAACGGGGAACCTCGGGAGTGACTTCATTACTGAGCTAAAAGGGTGTCCAGGGGCCATAGTCTTGGGGTTTCTCCAGTCTCTGTCAGTCCAGTAAGTCTGGTCTTTTTTTTTGTGAGTTACACTTTTGTTCTACATTTTTCTCCAGCTCTGTGGATCCTCTGTTGTGATCGCGGTCAGAGCAGTCAGTGGAGGTAGCCAGGCACCATCTAGTTGTACTGGATTCAGTCTGGTGGAGGCATTGGTAGCTGTGGTCCATTAGTCCTCTGGAGTAATCTTTTCCTTGTATCTTGTTTTCCTCATTCTCCCTTGCTCCTGAAGGGGTGAGACCAGTGGGGTACCTCAGATGGCCACTCACAGGCTTTTAAGACCCCAGACGCTACTCACCAAGGTAGAATGCAGAACATTTTGTTTGTAAACTGTGTTATGCCATTTGAGCTAGATGTTCCCCGAGATCATGGTCTCCACAGCCCTCCGCCCAAAAGTTCAGTTCCTCAGGGAGTTTTAGCCAGATCTTTTTGACCTCCTAAGACTCTGACGACAAATATCGAGTGCTGACCCAGCAGTTTACCAAATATTTATTAACTTGAATCCATATCATTCCACAGACTCCATCTTTAAGAAACCATTCTGTAAAGTAAAATTAATGTTTCACTTTAGCAAAAAATACAGTAGCCAGAAACTGGGAATCCCCTAACCTATCATTTGTGATGACTAATTTGGAGGCCTTTAACGAAAATAAGGATTCTCCCATTAGCTCAAGGATAAAGCAAGACTTACCTAAGGGAATCCTGGTGACAAGCAAATGTTCTGTCATTTTTATTGATACATTTTCTTACTAATCTATTGGAGATTTGATAGTCATTTTCCTTCACTAATGACAAAACTGTTTCATGAGGTGAAATATAAGTTTTCTTCAATTACAACTTTCTTTAATAATATTATCAGTGCTTTACTCTTGCTCTGTATCGAATTTAGCAGTATATGTTTTTTTAGGATGAGAAAACTATTACATTATAGCATGATACTTAAAAATAGAATACTGCATACCATGTAAAGAAATACACACTTTAGTATGCTTAGGAACACTTTAATGATGCACTTAAGTGAAATAATTTACTTTTTTTTTCTTTATCACCTGAATAGAAATCTCAACTTCTTTTTCTTTCAAAAAATCTGTGAGTTTATTTTAAAGTAATCATTCCTGAAATTTTTCTAATTTTCCAACTGGTCTTTTTTAAGTATTTAGCTCAAGCAAGCAGATAGATATTTACTTTTATATGGGGATCTTTTGAAAAAGTTCAGATTTCTAGGTCCTAAATGAAAGGACTTTTAAATTAGAATGCCTCCCATTTGCATGAGCATTTGTCATGGAAATGAGCTGCATTCATATCTGATCACACATAATCTCAAGCCTCCCCTTGGCATTAGGCAGGCAGCTTGGTGGACTGCAAAGAATGTGGTACCAGTCACAAAACCAGGACTCAGCTCAACCCTCTGCTACCAGTTAGGTATGTCATTTGTGGCAGGTTACTAAACCTTTCTGAATTAGGATTTACTCATGTGTACATCAAGTAGGCCAAACTTGATGGTGTATAAGGTAAATATTTGAGAGTTCTTTCTCCACCAATAAGCTGCAGCCCCCATTTCTAAGACCTGCCCCCCAGAAAGCTGGACCCCTAACAGCTACGTTTGCACTTGACCTTGAAAAAGCCCAGACACCACTGAGTGGACTCAGGTGAGCTACCATAACCCAAGCTGGGCTGGTCAGACTCACCCTCCCTAGAACCTGGAATTGTAATTCAGAGAGTGCCAGTCAGTCTCTGTCTGCTCCTGGGGTGGACTCTTGTAAACTCTGGAGCTTTCCACCATGGAGATGGAGAAGCAGAGAAAGATAGTCCACAGAAAGACAGAAGAATGATGCTGATATTCAGAGAAACAGTACTTGCTGGTTTTGCAATTCCTGGTTTCCAGTTCCTTTCTGAGGCAAAGCTACATTCTGGCCCTTGGGGCCCATGAAGCACCACACAACCACAGGGAAACAGCCCATACAGGCTTGGTATTGGGTTAAGAAAGGTCAGAAAACCCCCCACTAAGATTTAATTAACAGTAATTCACACATTAAAGCAAAACTTTTTTTTTTTTTTTGCACCCTGAAGGAGCCTCTGTGTGTGTATATGTGTTCATAAATAAAAAAGTTGGATTATGAAAATAAAACATTATGGAATATAATCTTAATTATATTCTGAGTCACATATTAACGTTCATATTGATAAAACCAAGGGCTACCCCCCAAAAGTGGATGGGCCCTTTCTGAAGCCACAGTAATTCTTTCAGGTCACAAAAAAAAAAATTTGCCATCAAGTTGATTCCAACTCATAGTGACCCTATAGGACAGAGTAGAACTGCTCCATAGAGTTTCCAAGGAGTGCTGATGGATTCGAACTGCTGGCCTTTTGGTTAGCAGCCGTAACTCTTAATCACTATGCCATCCCTTTAATTACTAAGTCAGCAAAATTAATGGTGTGAATGACAAAACCACTCCTTAACCTGAAAAATTTAAGCTCTTTAAAAACTCAGCTGTCTGCTTTCTTTTTTCCAAATCAGTGCTTCTCTGCCTTTTCTGTTTTAAGGTCAAATTTTAAAGTCAAAAATAGAAAAATCACAAAGTTAAGGAAGGGCATACCCGGAGGCCAAATTAAAGACTCTGAGTGGATCTTGGTATTAATCAATTAACTCTAATCAGAATCTGAAGACAGACTGGCAAAAAACTCAACACCCATTTCCTTGTTCTTTGCCCTTCTAATTCCGGAGCTCATTTCTACATCCAGCTAGTCATGTACCTTATATTACTTTCAAACCATCCCTTAACAAAGTTAAAATTAGATACCTACTGTTTATCAGTTCTCTGTGTTCAGCAAGAGTTTTTGCAGGATCCAGCCAGTACTGTGTAAGGAAGAAAAAGATACTTTATAGGAAGAGTTGCTTTTTGTTGGCTTTTACTTCAAGAACATTTGCAAAGTGTTATTTTAAATGACATTTAAATACTTAAAGAAAAACATTTAATTTATCATATATACTCAAAAACATACATAAGAGCTTTACACAACTAGAACATTAAAAGAAAGGAAAAATGATGTCAATGTGCAGACGGAAGCAGAGAAGAGAAACAGTACTTGCTGGGTTCTTGGTTGAATTATTGAACTGATTTTAAGGTCAGAAATATCAAGATGCTTATGAGTGAGCTTCTTACTACTTTTGGTAGGAAAATGACAACAGCGAGGAATGCCCTCCAAGTCACTTTTCAAAGCTTCATCACAATGCCCCACATGGATATCTACCCCTAAAATGCCTTCATCCTCTTTACCCTCACATATCCCCACTTCCAGTCCCATCCCCTACAGGTAATGCTGCTAGATGTTAGAAGAAAGCAATTAAATTAAATCAAATCCTTGATAAAGATGCAGGAGAGGCTGCTCAGCTCAGTGGCTGAGGGCCTGCATACAGAGCCTGCCTGGCAGGCCCATCTGGACTCGGTCCTGGCCCTCCCCTCGTTATCACTGAGTAACTTGAGGCAGGTTACTGAACATCTCTAAACCTTCCTCATAATGCTGCTATAAAGAGTCAGTGAAGTCTTCAGGATAGTACCTAGCTCATAGTAAGTGTGCAATACATGCTAGCGACGGTCATTAATAAGGTGTGAAGGTCAATTATATTAATAACTGCCTTTAGTCAATCTAAGGTATTGCTTATCCATTCAAATTAATCTTTAAATGAATAGAATTTCAAGCAGCAATGGGAGAAGTTTGGCCCTGGGGAGAGGCCTTCCTTTAAATCTCACCTCTGTGAAATAAAATCCCTGAGAAAATGATAAAAAAAAAAAAAAAGTCTTCTGCCTCCTCTCTCTATCTGCATGGAGATCAGGGGAGAAGCCAGTGAAACAGAAATGGGGTATCCAGAGTTCCCACAGAAACACACAGTCAAAGGAACTGGGGTGGGGGCGGGGCCTGGAGGCACAGGGAGGCCAGAGCTGGAACCTCTCCCCCACTCTCTTAACCAAGTGTTGGGGACCCCAAGGGCCAACCTAATCAGTTTCCATTTCCTATGTTCCTGAAAGAAGAAGAGGCTATTCCCACAGCGGAGAGGTAGGAACTGGCCCACCTTGAGCCACCTCATTCCCAGCACTCTTGCATTTGCCCTGTGAAGACATTTACACCTCCCCTAACACCCTGCAGGGTCAGGCCCTGAGAGGCCTGGTTACCTGGCACCCTGAGTCAGGAATCAAGGGGTCACAAGAGGAGTCCAAGAGAATCTTTTTGCCAGTTCCTCTTCCTTTCTCCTCAATTGAGGCAGAAAGGTTTTTTCTGCTATATGATAATTATAAGTAGTAATTATAATGTTTTATACAATACCCTTATCTTTTATTCCTAATTACATACAATAGCAACTATTCATACTAAATCTGGGTCATATTCGTTTCAGTGTAAGACTTTATTACAGTACTAAACTCTAGTCATGTATACATAATCTTTATTGTTTACCATTCAAAAAGCAGATTCAAATTCTCAATTGTTTTAAAAACTAAAGTAACCAACATATATAAGTACAGCAACTTATAATACAAACAATGTTCATTATTCAGGTCCTTATCATTTCTCACTTTTTAAAGGTCTAGAATTATTCACTTCTAAAATGGAAAGCATTTTTGGAACAGAGGTTATAATCAATAAGATGCTTTTGGAGCCCACAGTGACTAAAGATATGGCTTCAATGTTAAAATAGCAGTTCATAAGGAACTTCTGATTCATCCAAGTAGAATAAAATCCACCCAAATGTTAAGCTGTGTGTTGTACAAAGAGCAGACCTCTATGTAGATAAGCTATGGATTTTTCTCATGAGATGGAAACATTAGGTAGGTTGTGTCCTTAATGTTAAATAAAAAGGTTTGACTATCCCTGGATATTTCAAAGAGGAGAAAACCAAGGAAAACAAATACAAATATCCATGAAAACTTGTATTAGTTTTCTATTGCTGCTGCAACAAATTACTGCAAACTTAGAGGCTTAAAACAACACCCAGTTATTATCTCACAGTTCTGTAGGTAAGAAGTCTAGGTTGGCTGGGCTTGTTTCTCTGCTCCAGATAACACAAAGCCAAAATCAGGGGACACGGGGTTCAGTGGTAGAACTCTCGCCTTCCATGAGGGAGACCCAAGTTCAGTTCCCAACAAATGCACCTCATGTACAGCTACCAGCTGTCTGTGGAGGCTATGTGTAGCTGTGACGTTAAACAGTTTTCAGAGGCGCTTCCAGACTAGAAAGAAAGGCCTGGCAATCTACTTCCGAAAATCAGCCAATGAAAACCCTGTGGATCACAACTGTCTGATCCCCACCAATTATGGGAATGGTGCAGGACAGAGCAGCGTTTTGCTCCATTGTGTATGGGGCAACAGCGAGTCAGGAGCCAACTCGATGGCACCTAACAACAACAACAGACACAGTAGGTCCTCCATCTCAGTCTTAGCCCTCTCCCACAAACTGCCTTCCAAATTCTCTTTAGAAAGCAGAGCATCAGTTTGTGCCATCTAAATAACCCCAACCCCCTTGATAGGCCTCAAGACTCCCAGGACCCGCCCTCTCCCTCTCTCCAGGCTCATCTCCTCTCCTCATTTCCACGTGCCCTGTCTCCAGCTCACCTGCTGCTCCCCTCCATGCCCTCAGCCTGGCGTCCTGCCTTTCCCAGAACTACCCCTCAAACCTCCAACCATCTGCCAAGCCTCCACCAAACTGCCACCCCAACGACACACCCAGTCTCAAGTTCTGTTCTCCCACATCTCAACTCCAACAGCACAATGTTTCTACTCTTCTCATGGTTTTTACCAAGTTCTTTACCAACTCTAAAAAGCAGTATGTTTGAGCTATCTTATGTGGCAACAATTTTTCTGTGTCTTATTTAATCCTCACAGCAACCTTATGAGATAGGTATTATGATTTCCACTATATAAATGGCAAAACAGTGATTCTAAGTTCTGACGTGCCCCACCTCAGGACACACGGCTAATAACGGCACAGACTGGATTGGTTATTTGCGTAGATGCCTCACCTTCCTCACTAGATTATAAATATCTTGGGACAGGTGTGGCCCCCAGTCGCTGGCTCAGTGCCTTACACCTGGGGGCTTAATAAGTGCTTGTGATTGGAAAGGGGGGAAAGAAGGAGCCTCTGCTCTTACTACTTTTGGCCTAACTTCGTCTTGAGCCTAGAAATTTAAAGACAGCTTCTTAGACTTGCCTCCTAAGATTTTTACCCCAAGAAAACAAATTTAATAAACAGATTCTTCAATCCCATTGGTTTTTCCATCTCTAGAATGTTCTTCACTCATTAAAAAATCAAAGTAAAGGAAATAGGAAACTTTTAACTAAATGCAATAAAAAAGACTGATTAACCTATCCCCAAATTTCACATTAATGATAATCTGTGCAAATTTAAAATAAACCTCTTTCCTTGAGAGTGATCAAATTTGTGAGGGAAGAAAAATATAATAAAGGTTCTGACATGAGTTAGAAATTACAGGGTTTTTTTTTTGTTTTTTTTTTTTTTTTTTTTTTTTTTTTTTGCAGCAA